CTCTACATAGATTATCATACATAGCAGCATATGTGTAGAGAACCTAGGATAACCCAAAAAAGTCAGACAAAGTGACTTATTTCTAGTACAGTAGGGCCCCACTTATACGGCAGGTTAGGTCCCAGGCTAATGCCGGAAAGCAGACATCGCTGGAAAGCAGAACGACATTTTTTCCACTTATAAATGCATATAAATGCCAGATAACATGTTTGCACTAACATATATTAAGTTAGCAATAGAACTAGGCATTAAAAACAATAAAAAGTATAATACACAAATAGTACTACACCCATTACTTACCTTAAAATATTTGTAGTCGTAATGTAGGGTGAGAGGTGAGTTTTATTTGTAAGAAGTCAGGTTTGGGAGATATGGTAGCCAGCCAGGTCAGCCCACCCCACCCCACCCCACCCACCCACCCCACCCCACCCACATGTAATATACTATAACATTTAACCCTTAAACTGTCCAAACGTAGCTCTACGTTCACATGCCTAGCGCTCCGACCTTTATTTTCCCCATTTGAAAGCATGTAAAAAAAAAATGTAGATCTACATTCGGAGCCCCTTGCACGTGAATGTAGATCTACGTTTGGACAGTTTAAAATACATATACAGTACACCCATTACTTACCTTAATGTAGGGTAAGAGGTGAGTTTTATTTGTAGGAAGTCAGGTTTGGGAAGTATGGTAGCCAGCCAAGGCAGCCTTCCCCACCCCACCCGCACGTAATGTAAACAAACCAGGCGAACATGTCTGGTTCATACACGTTTGCATTATACCATAATACAAACACTTTCCTTTGTGTACAAGTTGTCTGGATCCATGTTGTTACAGTAGAATAAATAAAGACCAACACTTTCATTCTCATGTAATTTTTAGAAGGAATGATGCTCTAACAAATTATTTTTATTATTACAAAATATTATTATTACAAATTATTATTATTACATGTTATTAATATTACAAGCTATTATTATTATTATTATTATTATTATTATTATTATTATTATTATTATTATTATTATTATTATTATTATTATTATTATTATAAGTTATTATTATTATAATCATAATAAAAAAGAAGCACTAAACCCACAAGTGTTGTGAATAGCTATAGATAGAGTGAAGGCATATGTAAGGAATAAATTTCTAGTTAAGTTACTGGTGTTTGACTAGAGAAAACATAATTCTTCTGCCCTCTCCCACCAACTGCTTGGTAAACAAATCTCATATTTGTCAATTTTTATACTGTGCGTGTATGTATTATGTTTATATGTTACGTAGCGTGTTTATTATATAATTTTGAAAAAATATCATTGATGGATTAATGGAAATGTCTATATTAACGTAATATATGACATTTAATGCGACTAAGAGGTGATATGGCGTTGTGTCATTACGATTTCGTGAGTTGAGTCTTAGTGATTTTAATGTGTACCTGCATGCCAGCACAGTGTGTAAGTATATTTAGGTACAGGTACACATAAGTATAATTATCAGAGTACATATAAAATATACAATAGCTTAAAAACACTTCAAATTTCAGAAAATTTCCAGACATACTAGAGTTGTGCTCATGGACAATGTGAACAAACCAGGTGGGGTGCGCCGTATTTGAAAAACCGCTTGCTGTATAGCAGATTTTGGTTATAAATTGAAATCACCATATTAGCGGAACGCTGTAAGGCAAAATGCCGTAAAGCAGGACCCTACTGTACCTGGCTTGGACTTGCCATATATGATTTTTGGTAACATTTTTTTCTCAGTTGTTTGTTGGGCTATCTTACTGAAACTTGGGCAATGTATGATGGAAAGATGCTTCTTAACGTACACCGAAAATGAAAGAAATCGCACCATAAATAACGGAGTTCACCTCTCAGTCATTAGCCACCCCTTAGCAGTATATTTTCGTATGGTTTTTATGGTTGTATTCTCGTTTTTTTGGTCTCATTTGATAGAATGGAAGATATGTTACAGAAATAGATATGATTTTTATTAGTTTCACGACGAAAAGTACCTTGAAATTGAGCTCAAAGTAGCAGAAATGTTCGATTCTTTGGTGATATTCAATGACGTCACTGTCCAATATGTATTTGATTGGCCAGTCCATTACACAGTCATGAATAGGTTGACATTATTTATACAACTGTTATAATAATGCAGTAGTCTGCATAACAGTAAATCATCTATATTTTGTGTAAGTAAAAATTCAAAATGGAAAGCAAGAGTAATATAAGAGGGGCCTGGAGACGTGACTAATGAACAGAGAAAATGTTATTTTAGTGCCAGGAATGTCTGCATTGTTTATTCTGGACCCTATTTTGAAATTGGCATCTTTTGAAAGTTGTGTAAAATTGGCCAAATTGCCAACTGACCACTTTACTGGGTAGTTAAAAAACGGGAATGGGCAGTTTCTTGTACTCAGTAAACAAAATAGAAGTAAGTTTATTCAGGTATACACAAATGCAGTTACACAGATTATCATACATAGCAGTGTATGTATAGAGAACTGAAGATAGCCCAAAAAAGTCAGAGTGACTTATTTCCAATACCTGGCTTGGGCTCGCCGTATATGATTTTTGGTAAGTATTTTTTTCTCAGTTGTTTGTAGGGCTATCTTATTGAAACCTGGTCTATGTATGATGGAAAGATGCTTCTTAACATACACCAAAAATGAAAAAAATCAGATAAATAATGGAGTTCACTTCTCAGCCATTAGCCATCCCTTAGCAGTATATTTAAGTATGGTTTTTATGGTTATATTCTCATTTTTTTGGTCTCATTTGATAGAATGGAAGATATATTACAGAAATAGATATGATTTTGATTGGTTTCACGACAAAAGTACCTTGAAATTAATCTCAAAGTAGCGGAAATGTTTGATTTTTGCCAATGTTCAATGAACTTTCTTGTGTAAGTCAAGTTGGTTAACTTTATTAAGTGTATTCTAACCTAACCACTCTGCAATCCAGCAAACTCAATAATCCGACACACTACAGGTCCCAGTGATGCCGGATTTGTGATGGCGGACCTGTGTTACAGTATTATTATTTGTGTATGCTCAGTATACCTTTAATATTGAAGACAGAGTAAATCAACTAAAACTGAATTACGTTTATAAAATTGCTCACAACCAGTGTCCCCAGTATCTTATCGCCAATTTTGTTAAGGCCAGGAACCAGTGCAGTTACAGAACTAGGGAAAGGGAGAACAACTTTGCAGTACCTAGAGTCAGTGGTCAGGCTTCAAAGACATTTTTCTATTCAGTTATTCAGCAATAAAAGAGTGGAATAGACTGCCTGCACATGTCAAAGCCTGTCATAGCATGAGCCAGTTCAAGAAGAGAGCCAAAATGTACCTCATGAATAAGGCTACAGAAAGGGAGGAGAATGATTTCTTGTATGAAAATAACTAATTTTACCTCTCCCCTAGTATATCTTTTTTTTATTGTAACTACTTTTACATAGTTAAGATACTTACCTGTTTTTAACTTTTAAATATAAATAATAATTATCACAAGGACTGTAATGAAAATAAGTCATTCTGTCTTACTTTTTTTTGGTTATCCTAGGTTCTCTACACATTTGCTGCTATGTATGATAATCAGTGTAACAGTGTATACCTGAATAAACTTACTTAATGTCAGTTAAGAAAATATATTAAAAATATAATTATTGGGTACCTGTGGTGATAGAGTCATATGGTGTTATAATATTAGTATTATTACTGATGAACTAAAACCATATGACTCAGATAACCACAGGTACACAATACTTATATTTTTAATAACTGACATTAAAAGTGTGTGTGTAGGACAACACCAGTGATATGTGTACTGTGTGTGTGTAGCACAACACCAGTGATACATGCACTGTGTGTAGCACAACACTAGTGATACTTGCACTGTGTGTGTGTAGCACAGCACCAGTGATACATGCACTGTGTGTAGCACAACACCAGTGATACTTGCACTGTGTGTGTGTAGCACAACACCAGTGATACATGCACTGTGTGTGTAGCACAACACCAGTGATACATGCACTGTGTGTGTAGCACAACACCAGTGATACTTGTACTGTGTGTGTGTAGCACAGCACCAGTGATACATGCACTGTGTGTGTAGCACAACACCAGTGATACATGCACTGTGTGTGTAGCACAACACCAGTGATACATGCACTGTGTGTGTAGCACAACACCAGTGATACATGCACTGTGTGTGTAGCACAGCACCAGTGATACTTGTACTGTGTGTGTGTAGCACAGCACCAGTGATACTTGTACTGTGTGTGTAGCACAACACCAGTGATACTTGTACTGTGTGTGTGTAGCACAGCACCAGTGATACATGCACTGTGTGTGTAGCACAGCACCAGTGATACATGCACTGTGTGTGTAGCACAACATCAGTGATACTTGCACTGTGTGTGTGTAGCACAGCACCAGTGATACATGCACTGTGTGTGTAGCACAGCACCAGTGATACATGCACTGTGTGTGTAGCACAACACCAGTGATACATGCACTGTGTGTGTAGCACAACACCAGTGATACATGCACTGTGTGTGTAGCACAACACCAGTGATACATGCACTGTGCGTGTAGCACAACACCAGTGATACATGCACTGTGTGTGTAGCACAACACCAGTGATACATGCACTGTGCGTGTAGCACACCAGTGATACATGCACTGTGTGTATAGCACACCAGCGATACATGCACTGTGTGTGTGTAGCACACCAGTGATACATGCACTGTGTGTGTAGCACACCAGTGATACATGCACTGTGTGTGTAGCACACCAGTGATACATGCACTGTGTGTGTAGCACACCAGTGATACATGCACTGTGTGTGTAGCACAACACCAGTGATACATGCACTGTGTGTGTAGCACACCAGTGATACATGCACTGTGTTTGTAGCACAACACCAGTGATACATGCACTGTACTGTAATAATAATGCTTGTATTGATAAATATCTATTTTAATTTTCAGACTTCAAGTTAAAAGGCTTGTTTTCTGAAGAACTCTAGAATGGTTAAAGCTTTGATATTGTTGTGAGTGTGACTAGTTAATGGATCTTCAAAAGGAGGAAGGTGAGTATGCAACAAGTGATATATATATATATATATATATATATATATATATATATATATATATATATATATATATATATATGCAGTATAATCTGGCAATATAAACAGATTGAGAATAAATACCTAGTACAGTGGACTCCCGGATTTCGTACAATTTGGAAATCCCCTGGATTTTGTACCTTCCCTCAGAAATCGTCTGTATGAGACGTGTTCGCCTCTCGACCGCCACCGCTCACACGTGCATATCTCAATGTGCTTTTGTCACTTGGTCAGTGAGGAATGCTCTGTGCATTCTACCCAAACATTTCATAATTATCCATTATTTTTTGTGCTTGTTTATTGAAGTAAGCCACCATGGGGCCAAAGAAAGTTCCTAGTGCCAGCCCTTTGGTAAAGAAGGTGAGAAACACGATAGAACTCAAGAAAGAAACAGACCTCTTTGGATGTATTTTTTGGGTGATGAGGATACAGTGACTCACAAGCTGGTCCCAGTGCCAGTAAAAGACAAAGAAGGGAAGTAACCCTATATAGGGCTTTGATACCTGAAGTCCTAATGGAGGGGGATTCCCCTTCCAAAAAATAACTTCTCCTCCCTCTCCCCTTCTCGCCGTCTTCCATACGCCAGCAAGAGTCTTCAATAAAGGTATGTAATAGTGATTTAAATATTCACTTATCCATTTCTTTAGTCATTTATATTTATTTGTCATTGTTTTCTGTATGTATAGCTATATTTATTCTTTAAAAAAAAATTTTTTTTTGTTTATATTTTTGAGTGTTTGGAACAGATTAATTGAATTTACCTTATTTCTTAAGGGAAATATTACTTCACTTTTTGTCCATTTTGGATTTCGACCGATGTTCTGGAACGGATTAACCCTAAGGGTTGAGAGGCCCTCACCTAAACTCGTTCTCAGGGTTGAAAATTTTTCAGAAAAAAAAAAATTATTTTTTCTTATGAAATGATAGAAAATCTTTTCCCAATCATAATGACATCAAAAGTATGAAATTTGGTGGAAAACTTATGGAATTTTGCTCTCGCGAAGTTAGCGATCTCGACGATGTTTATGCATCGGCAATTTCGCCCACTTTGAGCCCTATTTTTGGCCAATTTCTGTGTACTAGTTTACCTGGAGTTTACCTGGAGAGAGTTCTGGGGGTCAACGCCCCTGTGGCCCGGTCTGTGACCAGGCCTCCTGGTGGATCAGAGCCTGATCAACCAGGCTGTTACTGCTGGCTGCACACAAACCAACGTACGAGCCACAGTCGGGCTGGTCAGGTACCGACTTTAGGTGCTTGTCCAGTGCCAGCTTGAAGACTGCCAGGGGTCTGTTGGTAATCCCCCTTATGTATGCTGGGAGGCAGTTGAACAATCTCGGGCCCCTGACACAAAAATCATATTTATTTTGCTAGAACTCCATTTTTTCTATCGATTGAGTACAAGAAACCACGCATTTACCAATTTCAACTATCCAATAAAGTGGTTAGAAATTGGCAATTTTGCCAGTTTCACACAAATTTCAGAAGATGCCAATTTCCAAATAGGGTCCAGAATAAACAAGACAGACATTCTTGGCACTAAAATAACAAGTTCTTACATTTCTTTTGCTTTCCACTTTGAATTTTTATTCTCACAAAAAAATAGAAGATTTACTGTTATGCAGACTACTGCATTAGTGTAGAAATGGTATAAATAATATCAGCGCACTAGTGAAAGAATATTAGACTCACCAGTATTGGACGCTTGGCATGATTTGTTTACTTTTGAACTTTGGTAAAAATCGAACATTTCTGCTACTTTGAGCTCAATTTCAAGGTACTTTTCATTGTGAAACCAATCAAAATCATCTCAATTTCTGTAATATGTCTTCCATTCTATAAATGAGACCAGAAAAACTAGAATACAACAATAAATACCATACAAAAATACAGTGCAAAGTCGCTGTTTTAATCCAAAAACACAAAGTTTTTTTTTTCCTCATTACACACTGTGTGCTGCAGGATTTTTTTTATACTGTGCACAGTGACCACATAGACCCATTCTTTCATAGGTAGGCCTACCAGCTTTCTCTCGCTAGATTTGAAGGCGCTAGAATTTAGGCGTTCTAGTACGTCAATAACCCTGGTGCGTAAGCCATACTAGTATGTCGGAAACCCTGAAAGGGTTAAGGACAAAAACCAGGGGTCCACTGTATTTCTTGCTCTATCAGCCTTTCATTACTTTTCTTTATGTTCAGAATCAGTTTCTGCGAAGATATATTGAACATGGATTAAATTTATCAATGGCTTGTGGGTCTTGATATTTTAATTTTTAGACAGCTTGTTTAACTCATTTTGGTGAGCAGTGTGTTTGACATTTTTTTGGGGTTATCCTAGGTAATTTACATATGTTTGGCAATTGTTCTTTTGTGTACCTGTGCTGCCTAAATACAGTTACAGTGGACCCTCGGTTATTGGCCATAATCTGTTCCAGAAGGTCGCCCTAAAAGCGAAATGGCCTCAAACTGAAATAATATTTCCCATAAGAAGTAGTGTACATAAATACAATTAATCCGTTCAAGACACCCAAATTTTTTTTTTTCAACAAACTGGCCATATCCCACCAAGGCAGGGTGGCCCAAAAAGAAAAACAAAAGCTTCTCTTTTTAAATTTAGTAATTTATACAAGAGAAAGGGTTACTAGCCCCTTGTTCCCGCCATTTTAGTTGCCTCTTACAACACGCATGACTTACGGAGGAAGAATTCTGTTCCACTTCCCCATGGAGAACACCCAAAATTATTCACAAAATTTTTTTTTTTAAAGATTAATTATAGTTTTACATACACAAAACAATGAGAACTAAATAAAATAAATACATAAACAATTAAATCAGTATTACATACCTTTATGAAGACTCTTGTTGGCTTATGGAAGACAGGGAGGAGGAGAGAAGGAGGATTATTGTTTGGAAAGGAAATCCCCCTTCACAATGATTTCAGGTAACAAGTCTCTCTCTGGGGTTACTTCCCTTCTTTGTCTTTTAATGCCACTAGAACCAGCTTGAGAGTCTCTGGACACCTGTCGCACAAAATAACTGTCCAGAATTGTCTGTTTCTGGTGTCTCTTTAGGATTTCTCTGAAGTGGGACAAGGCTTTGTCACTAAACATGTTGCAGATATGGCTTGTTTCAGCTTGGTCAGGGTGGTATTTCTCCATGAAAGCTTGCACCCTACTCCACATTGCACAAATCTCCTTAATCTCTGAAGAAGGCACCTCCTTCTCTCCCTCTTCCTCCTCCTCTGAAGCAAGTTCCTCAGCTGTGGTCTGTTGCTGTTCCAAATGAAGCTCTTGCAGTGCTTCAGTGGTTATCTCTTCCCTGTGGTCCTCCACCAACTCTTCCACATCCTTGCCACTAACCTCTAACCTCCTGGACTTCCCCAATTGTACAATACTTTCCACAACAGGTGTAGGGTCCTCAGGGTCAGCCCCAAACCCTTCAAAATCCCTCTTGGACACAATCTGGTTGCAGTTTTCTCCAAGCAAAGTTCAAAATCCTGGAAGTCACTCCTTGCCAAGCCTTACCTATAAGGCTTATGCAATGGAGGATACTGAAGTGTTTCCTCCAGAACTCTCTTAGGGTCAATTGAGTGTCCGAGGTCACTTCAAAGTACCTTTGAAACACTGTTTTGGTGTAGAGTTTTTTGAAGTTTGAAATGACCCACTGGTCCATGGGTTGGATAAGAGGAGTGGTGTTAGGAGGCAAGAACTTCACTGTTATAAAACTGAAACCCCTAAACAATTGGTCTTCCAAGTCTGGAGGGTGAATAGGAGGATTGTCCAGCACCAGGAGGCACTTGAGTGGCAATTTAATTCCAGGAAGTACTTTTATACACTGGGGCCAAACACATCATTGACCCACTCTTAAAAATTTGTCGTGTGACCCATGCCTTATTATTAGCTTTCCACTTCACACACAATTTACTCTTGAAAACATTGTTTTCCTTGAACACTCTGGGATTTTCAGAGTGATACACCAGTAAAGGCTTCACTTTGAAATCCCCACTAGCATTAGCAGAGAACAAAAGAGTAAGCCTGTCTTTCATAGGCTTGTGTCCTGGCAGTGCCTTTTCCTCCCGAGTAATGTAGGTACTCTTTGGCATTTTCTTCCAAAAGAGGCCTGTTTCGTCACAATTGAACACTTGTTGGGGAAGGAATCCTTCAGCCTTTATGTACCACTTGAATTCCTGCAAGAATTTTTCAGCCGCACATTTGTCAGAACTTGCAGCCACGCCATGCCTTGCCACACTGTGTATGCCACTACACTTCTTAACCCTTTCAGGGTTTCCGATGTACTAGTACGGCTTACACACCAGGGTTATTGACGTACTAGAACGCCTAAATTCTAGCGCCTTTAAATCTAGTGAGAGAAAGCTGGTAGGTCTACATATGAAAGAATGGGTCTATGTGGTCAGTGTGCACAGTATAAAAAAAAATCCTGCAGCACACAGTGCATAATGAGAAAAAAAAAACTCCGACCATGTTTTTGGTTTGAAACAGCAACTTTGCAGTGTATTTTCGTATACTATTTATGGTTGTATTCTAGTTTTCCTGGTCTCATTTTGTAGAATGGAAGACATATTACAGAAATTGAGATAATTTTGATTGGTTTCATAATGAAAAGTACCTTGAAATTGAGCTCAAAGTAGCAGAAATGTTCGATTTTTATCAAAGTTCAAAAGTAAACAAATCATGCCAAGCGTCCAATACACGTCAACTGGTGAGTCTAATATTCTTTCACAAGTGTGCTGATATTATTTATACCATTTCTACACAAATGCAGTTGTCTACATAACAGTAAATCTTCTGATTTTTGTGAGACTGAAAATTCAAAGTGGAAAGCAAAAGAGATGTAAGAGGGTCCTGGGGACGTGACTAATGAACAGAGAAAGTGTTATTTTAGTGCCAGGAATGTTCGTCTTGCTTATTCTGGACCCTATTTGGAAATTGGCATCTTCTAAAATTGTGTGAAATTGGCAAAATTGCCAATTTCTGACCACTTTATTGGATAGTTGAAATCAGTAAATGGATGGTTTCTTGTACTCATTCGATAGAAAAAATGAAGTTCTAGCGAAATGGATATGATTTTAGTCGACTAGTTCACTGAAATTGGCCGAAAATAGGGCTCAAAGTGGGCGAAATCGCCGATGCGTAAACATTGTTGAGACTGCTAACTTCGCGAGAGCATAATTCCATAAGTTTTCCATCAAATTTCATAATTTTGGTGTCATTATGATCGGGAAAAGATTCTCTATCATTTCACAAGAAAAAGATTTTTTTTTATTCCTAAAAAATTTTCGACCCAGAGAATGAGTTTAGGAGAGGGCCTCTCGACCCTGAAAGGGTTAAATCTCTCAAACCAGCCTTTGCTGGCCCTAAATTCACTAACTGCAGCACTTCTTCAAGGCATTTTCTTTACAAGATCCGCATGCAACTGCCTTGCTTTCTCACAAATAATCGACTCCACAACACTGTCTTCTGCTAGTTGTTTTTCTGTGATCCATTTACAATAACTTCTCCATATCTTCCATTATTGCTGACCTTTGTTTCGTTATCACATTTACTCCTTTTGCCACATCAGCTTTCTTGATTTGTTCTTACTTTGGCGGGATGGAAGTGATTGTTGATCTGTTTTTCCCATACATCCTGGCAAGCTCAAGCACTCAAACGCCACTCTCATATTTTTCTATTGCACTTCCTTCTTAAATCCCATTGTGTTTCTCACTTTCTTTACCAATGGAACTTTACTAGGAACTTTCTTTAGGGCCATGGTTACTTATTTCGCAGTTGCACTTACTGAATAACCACCAAAAACAATGGAAATGTTTGAATGAATAAGCAGAAGCTTCCTCACTTGCCCAGAGACACTGCAAGACTGACGCGAGCAGCTGGTGGCTGGGCGGTGACGCATCCCATATGGTTGATAAGCGAAATATCAGCCGATAACCAGAAGCTGAAAGCGGCCGATAACCGAATTGGCTGATAAGCAGAACGGCCGATAGCCAAGGGTCCACTGTACTTATTTTACCTATACATTACAGCATTTATTTTAATTGGATTCAATTTTAATTTCTTCTTAGAATCAAAGTGTTAATATTGGACACAAAACAAGCAGAAGGGGGCTTATACGACTTAACTGAAGAAGACTTTATTCGGATTATTAATCTGTTGGGGTGATAACCCAAGAAAACCAAGCATTGTGGCTTATTTCCATTAGGGTCCTTAGATCTTTTCATAGATTGCAACCATATACCCAGATTGTTAGCTAATGTTAACGAGCACCCAGGTGGAGCATATACGTATTTATTCTAGGTGAACAGGGGCAGCAGGTGTATGGAGATTCACCCATAATAATAATAATAATAGTAATAATAATATCTTTATTTCTACAAGTACGTGTACAAGGTATACAGGCTTAGCTGACATCAGTGACATACTACTACGTATATAAAAAGCCCCTTGCTGTGCAGAGCATTTTGGGCAAATTAGGTCAGTTTTGTCCCAGGATGCAGCCCACACCAGTCAACTAACACCCAGGTCCCCTTTTTACTGATGGGTGAAGACTGGACAGGAGGTATCTTAACTTAAGGAAGCACACCCTATTGCTTCCAATCGTACTGAGGATCGATCCCCAGACCTCAGTGTGTGAGCTGAGTGAGCTAGCAATCATGCTATGGGACATATGTCTTGCATTGCCCAGGACTGAACACAGGTCCTTCATTTGTGAGCTAAATGCAGTATTAGAGAGTAAGAATACCTTATACTTTAGTATTGTAAGTAAACTCTTAAGAAAACTTATCTTACAATTCCATGGCCTTGTATTTCACTGGAATGCCAAGTTGTTACCTGATCTTCCTGATAGTGTAGTATATACACTGCATACTAAATATATACATTCCAGAAATGTAGCTTACATTCTTCTGGAAGAGAAAATAAGGAAAAGGCTTCTTTCTTTAGTTTCTTTCCATCATATAAACAGGTTGGCTTTCAAAATATCTTCATGCTCTCACTGAGTATCTTTAGACCCAGCTATCCAAATATTTAAGTATTGTACTTCAACAATGAGTGAGAATTAATTGATGAAAGTTTCAGACAACAGTGAACAATGAAGAAACCATAGCAAAGGTCACAGGGAGCTTCAGAGTTCTTACACTTTTCAGCAGCAGTTTTAAGTAGTGCAGCTGAGAGATTAATATATAGATCTGATTGATCTGATTATCATCTTTATGGGTATCTTTCCTTTAAGGCTCTTCAGTACTACTTTAGGTTGAAAATGATATAGTAATACAGTACTGACAAACTTTGAGAAAGGACACTTATGCATAGTTCTAGATATTTATTAAAGGAAAATTTTTTCCTTGAGTGGCTTCATCAGTACTAATACAGCGTACGCTACTGTAACATGGTGGACATAATGGACAGTGCAGGTGACCACTATATAACACCTTATTGGAGGTTACTCTCTGTGTATTAGGACTAATGAAGCCACTCAGGGTAAAACATTTCCTTCAATAAATATAAAGAACTGTACACAAGTGTCCTTTTCCACACTGTCATACCTCAGCAAGCCTCTGTAAGACATTGATAAGTCATTCAAGTTGTTGGTTCTTGGAGACAGCTATGTGACTGTACTCACAGCTAGGCAGTACCACAGGTCAAAGAGAAATATGATCAAGGTACCCAGCATGTACATACTCTCCAGGTGGGGAGTTACATAAGGTTACAAGACACCACAACTAAGTTGTAGAAGAGGTCAGGTGTGGTAATTGAGGCCAAAAAGTTCCAGCATTGTATAATAAAGCTTGATGAGAGTAGCTTGCTGTCACTTAGGAATCATTGTGCATGCTCCTAGGCCCACTACATCCACTGTCAGCTCTCAGATGGGATCACAGGTGTGGACGAGTCACCGCAGCTGACAGATGACAGCCCGGTAATCACTACCCATACCAGGGTAAGACTGTGGAAGAAAAGAAGGCTAACCCTGTTCGAAGACTACATATATCCAAATTGTCAGCTATTATGTACAGTGGTACCTTGAGTTATGAGCTTAATTCATTCCAGAAGGCTGTTCAAGTGCCAATACCGAACGAATTTGTTCCCATAAAGAATAATGAAAATTAGATTAATCCATTTCAGACCCCCAAAAATACACTTACAAAAGCACTTACAAAAATACACTTACATAATTGTTAAAGTTGAGAACTGCTCGTAACTCAAGGTACCACTGTATTTTGTTTTCCTCAAGTTTACTTGATAAAAGTATGCTGTTGTTGATCCTGTCTACTTAAAGGAGGCATGTAGTGGTATGGTGGTGTGGCTGAGTGCCCAGTAATGCCTGAACAGCCAGTTGAGCCTGACTCTGTATACTGTAGATATGTGATTGTTAGTGTCAATAAATTCTTGCTACTTCACCTACTTATTCTTCACAGACTCCCACACAATGTGAAGTGAAGAACACATGGGAAAAATAGGGCTTCATTACAGTCAGCTCCAAATTTGCCAAACAATTTTTTTTTTACTGTTGTACTAGGTATAAATTTCTACACTATAACATGCTTTATATTCTGGCAGTGGCTTACTCATGAATTGGAAGAGTGTGCAGAAAGAGTTGATGTGGGCCTGTGGATACAGTACTGAGTTGTCAGTAGTTGATGGTTGTATTGGACTGCTTATGTATTCTGTAATATCTGAGTTGTTTTACCCCACATCACAGTTCTTTATAAAGCCGACAATAAGGCATCATTGCTTGCTCCAGAATCAGCTTCACATCAAACATAGAGTGAGTTAGGTGATGCTTCCTGATAGCAACTGTAGGGGGTGTAAGGATTAGTGGGAAAGGGGACAAGTTATACCTCCACAATCATTCTCCAGCCTTAGGCCTAACTGCTCAACTTGGGTTAGAGGGGAAAAATTCCATGGCATGTAGTATCCAAATTTTTCTCATAACTTGATGTTATGGAAACTTAATGTAAGCAATATTGTATCAAAATTTAACACGTTAACTAATTCTGTCATGTTTTACAGTGCATAATATCAAGATTTTCATATTCTGTACTATCAAAAATTTTGTATTGCTGGTTTTTGGATTGTGTTACAACCAGATTGTGCTGAGTCACTTGCAAGAGGGTTTATTGTGTTTGATTTTTTTATAATAATGAAAATTAATGAATCTTCAATTTACATTGGATGAGAAAATAAAGAATTTTCTGTTACATAAATGTTTAGTGATAATTACTGCTTTCTTTTTGTTAATTTTGTATAGTACTTGATTCATGTGTTTTAAAGAAGAAATTATGAGCTGATTTTTGTCTTTACTTTGCTCTAGGTTGCAGACCACGTCAAAAATTCTTGGGAAGATTTGCAATTTCTGTCCACTCAAGTGATGTTCATAAGGGAGACCGTTCACCTCCTTTGCAGCCTGTACTTGATGAGACTGAACAGGTTGGTCATGATGTAAGTGCTACAGCAGAGCAGCCTGCTAATTGTATGCTGTTGTAAGTGACTTTTTTTTTTCCACAGCAAGAAAGAATGTTAACTGGGTGCAGGAGGAAAGAGGAGTGATTGGTGGAATGATGAAGTAAAGGGTATGATAAAAGAAAAAAGGGTAGCTTATGAGAGGTTTTTACAAAGTAGAAGTGTTGTAAGAAGAGCAGAGTATATGGGGAGTAAAAGAAAGGTGAAGAGAGTGGTGAGAAAGTGCAAAAAGGAGAGCAGATGATAGAGTGGGAGAGGCACTGTCAAGAAATTTTGCTGAAAATAAGAATAAGAAAAAATTTTGGAGTGAGATAAATAAGTTAAGAAAGCCTAGGGAATGAATGGATTTGTCAGCTAAAAACAGAGTAGGGGAGTTAGTAGATAGGGAGTTGGAGGTATTGCGTAGATGGCGAGAATATTTTGAGGAATTTTTAAATGTCAATGAAGAAAGGAAGGCGGTAATTTCATGCTCTAGCCAGGGAGGTATAACATCTTTTAGGAATGAAGAAGAGCAGGATGTGAGTGGGGGAGAGAGATTGTAAAAATTATAGGAGAATAAGTTTGCTGAGTGTATACCAGGAAACGTGTATGGTAGGGTTACTATTGAAAGAATTAGAGGTAAGACAGAGAGTAGGATTGCAGATGAGCAAGGAGGCTTTAGAGTGGGTAGGGGATGTATCGATCAAGTGTTTATATTGAAGCATATATGTGAACAGTATTTAGATAAAGGTATGGAAGTTTTCATTGCATTTATAGATTTAGAAAAGGCATATGATAGAGTGGATAGGGGAGCAATGTGGCAGATGGTGCAAGTATATGGAATAGGTAGTAAGTTACTAAATGCTGTAAAGAGTTTTTATGAGGATAGTAGGCTCAGGTTAGGGTGTGTAGAAGAGGGAGATTACTTCCTGGTAAAAGTAGGTCTTAGACAGGGATGTGTAATGTCACCATATGTATAGATGGGGTTGTAAAAGAAGTAAATGCTAGGGTGTTGGGGAGAGGGGTGGGATTAAATTATGGGGAATCAAATACAAAATGGGAGTTGACACAGTTACTTTTTGCTGATGATACTGTGCTTATGGGAGATTCTAAAGAAAAGTTGCAAGGGTTAGTGGACGAGTTTTGGAGGGTGTGTAAAGGTAGAAAGTTGAAAGTGAACATAGATAGGAGTAAGGTGATGAGGGTATCAAGTGATTTAGATAAAGAAAAATTGTGCGGGTGATAACCAGCTCCTGTACTAGACAGCACACCCCGCCACTTTTCAAAAGACTCAACTTGCTTAATATACAAGACATACACTTATATTATTGTGCCTATTACGTATACAGAACATTAAACTCCACTATAAACCCTCCCCTGAAACTACTCTTTGAGAGTTACAACAGAATGCACAGTCACAATACAAGGCATAAGGCACTTTTTAACATCCCTCAAATCAATCTCTCACTATACAAGAACGCTATGCACATAAAGGGCCTGTAGATCTGGAACTCGCTACCGTAACAGGTCAAGGATCCCCTGACAACTTATAAATTTAGGACTTTGCTAAAAAATCATCTTATCTCACAATATTATCTCTAACTTTTGTTCTATAAATCTGTGAATAAACCTTTCGGATTTGTTTTCGAATCCCTAGCAACTTTAATTTTGTAGTCCCGTTTAGCTTTTCTTATTCCTTTTTAATGTCCCTCTTAATGTCAATACATGTACAATATATATTGATTCATAAGATGACCCTCACCTCTTTCGATGTGCCTATAAATTCCTTTCTTCTGCCCTAAAAGATATTTGAGCCTATTATTCACCCATTTTGGGTCATTTTTTTTTTTTTTTTTTTCAACAAGTCGGTCGTCTCCCACCGAGGCAGGGTGATCCAAAAAAGAAAGAAAATCCCCAAAAAGAAAATACTTTCATCATCATTCAACACTTTCACCACACTCACACATTATCACTGCTTTTGCAGAGGTGCTCAGAATACAACAGTTTAGAAGCATATACGTATAAAGATACACAACATATCCCTCCAAACTGCCAATATCCCAAACCCCTCCTTTAAAGTGCAGGCATTGTACTTCCCATTTCCAGGACTCAAGTCTGACTATATGAAAATAACCGGTTTCCCTGAATCCCTTCACTAAATATTACCCTGCTCACACTCCAACAGATCGTCAGGTCCCAAGTATCATTCGTCTCCATTCACTCCTATCTAACACGCTCATGCACGCTTGCTGGAAGTCCAAGCCCCTCGCCCACAAAACCTCCTTTACCCCCTCTTTCCAACCCTTTCGAGGACGACCCCTACCCCTCTTTCCTTCCCCTATAGATTTATATGCTTTCCATGTCATTCTACTTTGATCCATTCTCTCTAAATGACCAAACCACCTCAACAACCCCTCTTCTGCCCTCTGACTAATGCTTTTATTAACTCCACACCTTCTCCTAATTTCCACACTCCGAATTTTCTGCATAATATTTACACCACACATTGCCCTTAGGACATCTCCACTGCCTCCAACCGTCTCCTCGCTGCTGCATTTACCACCCAAGCTTCACATCCATATAAGAGTGTTGGTACTACTATACTTTCATACATTCCCTTCTTTGCCTCCATAGATAACGTTTTTTGACTCCACATATACGTCAACGCACCACTCACCTTTTTTCCCTCATCAATTCTATGATTAACCTCATCCTTCATAAATCCATCCGCCGACACGTCAACTCCCAAGTATCTGAAAACATTCACTTCTTCCATACTCCTCCTCCCCAATTTGATATCCAATTTTTCTTTATCTAAATCATTTGATACCCTCATCACCTTACTCTTTTCTGTGTTCACTTTCCACTTTCTACCTTTACACACATTCTCAAACTCATCCACTAACCTTTGCAATTTTTCTTTAGAATCTCCCATAAGCACAGTATCATCAGCAAAAAGTAACTGTGTCAATTCCCATTTTGAATTTGATTCCCCATAATTTAATCCCACCCCTCTCCCGAACACCCTAGCATTTACTTCTTTTACAACCCCATCTATAAATATATTAAACAACCATGGTGACATTACACATCCCTGTCTAAGACCTACTTTTACCGGGAAGTATTCTCCCTCTCTTCTACACACCCTAACCTGAGCCTCACTATCCTCATAAAAGCTCTTTACAGCATTTAGTAACTTACCACCTATTCCATAAACTTGCAACATCTGCCACATTGCTCCTCTATCCACTCTATCATATGCCTTTTCTAAATCCATAAATGCAATAAAAACTTCCCTACCTTTATCTAAATACTGTTCACATATATGCTTCAATGTAAACACTTGATCTACACATCCCCTACCCACTCTGAAGCCTCCTTGCTCATCCGCAATTCTACATTCTGTCTTACCTCTAATTCTTTCAATTATAACCCTACCGTATACTTTTCCTGGTATACTCAGTAAACTTATTCCTCTATAATTTTTACAATCTCTTTTGTCCCCTTTCCCTTTATATAAAGGGACTATACATGGGTCATTTCTATTTGATCTAATTTCTTTATATGGGATAAATGTTCTTTGGGCAGCATGTATAGTGTTTCGAAAGCTGTCATATTGATAGTTCTCTTCGTTACCCCAGTGAACAGATGATAAGTGTTCTCTAAGCCCATTGTAATCTGCTAAGCGAAAATCTGGGACCGTTACTGAGTTGTTCCTACTAACATACTTCCATTCAATGCTAAAGGTAATTGATTTGTGGTCACTTGTGCCGAGTTCCTCTGTGAGTGACTGTAACACAGTCACTCACACCAACACCAACTCTTCCACATCCTGGCCACTCACCTCCAACCCCATGGACTTCCCCAAAGACACAATAGATTCCACAACTGGCATAGGGTCCTCAGGGTCAGCCTCAATCCCTTCAAAATCCTACTGGAGGACACATTCTGGCCACAATTTTCTCCAAGAAGAGTTAATCGTCCTGAAAGTCACTCCCTGCCAAAAGCCTTATCTATAAGGCTTATGCAGTTGAGGATACTGAAGTGATTCCTCCAGAACTCTCTTAGGGTCAATTCAGTGTCCAAGGTCACTTCAAAGCACCTTTGAAACATTGCTTTGGTGTAGAGGTTTTTGAAGTTTGAAATGACCTGCTGGTCCATGGGCTGGATGACAGGATTGGTATTAGGGGGCAAGAACTTCACTGTGATGAAACTAAACTCCCCCAACAATTTGTTACGCTGAACTAGTAAGAAAGACAGACTGAGTCACGAACATATGAGCGGCCGCATCACGCGGATAGGTGGATGCATCTGGTATGGACGATTTCTGAGCGGATGTACGAAAATGGGAAAAATTTCGCCGAAAAAGTGGTTGAAAACTGAATTGTACAATAACTGGATCAGACGAAAACTGGGGTTCCACTGTACTTGCAAGTCTTTCTGATATTGAATACTCAAGTTTCAAGTTACAATAAATTGAAGTCCCTGTTATGCACAGCATTTTGTGCAAACTTAGACTAAGGTTAGCCTACTAGGTCTACATAGTTATGAAGTTATGTGTATGGTTCAATGCATGGAATTGATTGGAAGTTAAAATTTATTCTGTGATAGGGTAAATGATTTGACTGCAGTATTTAAGCACACACTTCTTTCTTTAACTTAACTTTGAATTCAAGATGTTGCAATTTTTCACTTTAAGTTATTCCACTAGTGTGTCTTTGAAAAAAGTACAGTTTTGTTTACTTTTTTATCTATCAAGCTACTAACAAAATCACAACACCCCACCTCCTTTAGGGGGAGGGGGTGTTGGGATATGAAAAGGCTCTTGAGCCAAGGAATTGGAGCTGCACTTGATTGAATCAAACCTGATTCCCAGGCATTATATAAATTCTTCGGGTTTAGCACTTCCCCACAAATAATAATAAAGAAAATACTTTTTATTTTTACCAGAATTTAATATATGTATACCCTATTTCATGGTAAATTATCTGTGGTTCCTGGCTATGAGTACTGTTAGGTTAGGTTAGGTAAGGTTCGTCAGGAAACAGGACAAATGTTTCCTGACGCGGGTCTTAGTCAGATGATGACCCGCCTTTGGAGCTTTTGGTCATCTGACCGAGGCCTTCCGCTGGCTTACCGGTCCACCCCTTTAAAAATTATGGTCATTTATAACCATTGTTATATATTATGAGTACTGTATATATTGTAATTTTTTATTTTATATAGCTGTTGAATATTCACATAGTAAGCATGGTCAGTAATTTGATCTTAATTTTGTGATTATTTACAGAATGAATATGCTTTTGGAGATTCTTTCTGCAACCTTGACATCTTGGATAATGTTAGAGAAACTGAGGCTCAGTATGCTGATACAGACTCTGCAACAACATCACACAAAGAGGTACCTTCTCTTCAGACAAAGTCAAATCTGCTTCATAATGTCAAGACACCTTCCAGGACAGCAGCCAAAGAGAGTTCTTGTAGCAATCCTACTGAGTTTTTCCGGGGAACCAAATTCCAAGATCTCAGGCGATCACCAAGATTAAAGAGCTCTTATTCCAGTAATGTTAAAAAACTAAATTCTAGGGCAGTATCAAAAGAATTTGCTGAAAGTAAGAATGATGAAGAGCAAAGTAAGAACAAAAAAGGGCTGACAGTAAATATTGTACCCACATCAATTGGGATGATTACTCTTGAAGATGCCATGGGTTTGAATGATAGTGACTTTCCTGATGAAATTACTTCTCCTGGAGATGAAATATCTAAAGAAGTAGGGCTGGGACATTCTCTCCTACACGACTCACGAATAAATAATTGCAATATTGAATCTAAACCAAATTTTAGTTTTTTCAATGAGAATGTCAGGAGGTCACAAAGGCTTCAAGCTAAAAATATCACAAATAACACAAATATGATGTGTGTGTCAAAGAGAAGTAATTTTTGTAAGGTTGGTGGCTCAAATCACAGTAAAAATAAAGGTAGAAACAAATGTGTAAATGCAGATCTTGCATCAAATTTAGATTTTAATTGTGCAAAAGAAACTCTGGATGCTGAAGTACTGAAGGAAATTCACATAAATTCTTTATTAAAGATTTCTTCGTGTGTAGAAGATGCCCCTCGATCAAAATTAAATTATAAGGAAATAAATATAGATTTCAGTGAAGAAAATTTTAAGAATGAACAGTGTGTACAAAATTCGTCAGGTCCTATGAGAAACTTGGAAGTAACCAAAAGCATGTCTGGTGCCAAAAGCTCTTTTATAACTGCCACAAAAGTACTGAAAGAACAGGGTGAGCATTTAGAGTATGCTAGGCTAGCAAAAGACAAAGATGTGAAGTCAGTCCACAATAGAGTAATGCAAGGCTCTCATCTTGAACTGGAGGGGAGAAATAAGGAAAACACAGCACCGTGTGAATCTTTGGATGGCTGTTCAATAAATCGTTGTTCAGAAAAAGAAAATAAGATAGAGAAAACATTAATAAACTGTAATAAGGTTCATTCTAAAGGAAAACACCCAGATTTATCAGATGATGATAATATTTCAGTTGGCAAGGAGAAAAAACATTCTAGTGATCTACAACTAGAAATGGATGCAATTCCAGATATGAAGAGTTTACCATACTGTGTTAAACCCAGTATGGCTTTTGGATTTAATGCACCTGTTACAAGGCACTGTACAGCACCTGTTAAGTTTTTTAATCCTGAAAAATGTTTATCACCTGTTATTTCTGTTTCACATTTGGAAGATCAAGTACATGTTGATGTTAGTGATTCTAAACAAACTCAAGTACAATTTAGCTCTGTAATTATGGGCATTCAGACACCTGTTGGTTCTCTCTCATCAAAAAACAATAATATATTCTATGAAAAGGACACTGTGTGCAATGAGGCTCATCCAACTGTTAAATCTGATTCCTCTAGTCATGGTTCATGTGAGAATACAACATTAAATGCTGAAACACCTGTTAATTCTTCTGCAGCTGTAAAATATAAAACACCTGTTCATCAGCTAGGTACAGCATCTCCCAAGATGCACAAGGCCGCTTCCATTTTAAGGTCTCCATTCAGTGAAAATAATGAGAGTCATATTTTTCTTTCAACTCAAGAAAAGATGGAATTGTCATCATGGGGATTGCCAGAGGCTGTATTGGAGGTTAGTTTATCATACTAGATATATTTGCAAATCAAAAATAATTTTAGATTATGAATGTATACTTCTCATAAATATGCAAGATTACAGGTACGTCTTGCTACTTCTACTTACACTTAGGTCACACTACACACACATGTACAAGCACATATATACACACCCCTCTGGGTTTTCTGCTATTTTCTTTCTAGTTTTTGTTCTTGTTTATTTCCTCTTATCTCCATGGGGAAGTGGAACAGAATTCTTCCTCCGTAAGCCATGCGTGTTGTAAGAGGCAACTAAAATGCCAGGGGCAAGGGGCTAGTAACCCCTTCTCCTGTATATATTACTAAATGTAAAAGGAGAAACTTTCGTTTTTCCTTTTGGGTCACCCTGCCTTGGTGGGATACGGCCGGTGTGTTGAAAGAAAGAAGAAGAATGTATACTTTGTATATTTTACAGATACAAGTCTCCCTCCACATTTGTGAGTTCCACTTTCACGGACTACGAGCATTCGTGAATGCGCAGCTGCCCAATCATATTTAAAATATGTCATTATGTATGTTAGGAATTGTGGCGGCGGCAGAGTTTGTTTGGAGGCAGGACAAGATAGTCCTTCAGTATGACACTAATATCAACTCTACTGCTTATTTATCTATCATAATTGATCTAATATGACATAATGAACAATATTAATAATGGTAATAACAGTATTAATAACAAGTAGTGTTGTGTTGTTGTTGTTGGGTGTATAAGGGCCAATGAGAGCATAAGCCGTACTGGTGAAGGCCAGCAGAGGCGGCATTGTTCTCATTAGCCCTATATACCTCCAACAACATTGGAGGAGTAAGGTTCGTGCTGTCCTTTTTCTATCGATTAATCGCTTAACTTATTTGCTACACTGTTACTGCTACACTTTATCGCAGGCTGGCGCTATAGCCTTTATCGACTAGTGCTGCTTTAGTATCGTCCATATCATAGAATCACTGAAGAAGGTACTCTGCTATGAGTTCTTTCTTGAATTCTATAGTCTTTCTCACCTTCTTTACCAAAGGGCTGGCACTAGTACAATATTTTACGATGTTTTCGTGCGTTTTATGATTGTTCATGGTTCAGTAGGTTAAGGAAGCAGTATTGTTAGGCTAAGTAAGTGCTATTATTATATTTCCCTACAATATATTTGTGCACCAAACATTCGCAAATTTTCAACATTCACAAGGTTCTTGATCTAACTCTCGCGAATGTGGAGGGAGACCTGTATTAGTCTTGAAGCTCATTGAAATGTAGTTTACATCTAATTTAGGGGCACAAAGAATTATGTCTGCTGTCAGACAAAGACTTAACCCTTAAACAGTCCAAACATATATATACGTTTTTTCAACATTTGAAAGTATGTAAAAAAATGTACATCTTTTTATTTTTTACATTTGAAAATGTGTAAAAAAACTTTTATCTACATTTTTTTTTGTTATATTTGAAAATATGTAAAAAAACATAGATTACTTTTGGAGCACTACGGATTTGAACGTCAATCTATTTGGACCGTTTAAGGGTTAAAAGTATCAGTGAAAAATAAAGCTGTGAATGTGTTAACTGAAATATTGAGAAAACTCAGTATTTTGCTGACAATATACAGCACAGTTACATTGGTGTAATAATTGTACCTATTTGTAACTACTGGAACAGAGCTATTCTCATGCTGTTGAATCATTATTAATATTTTTTAATATGCTAGCCATCTCTCATCAAGGCAGGGTGACCTGAAAACCAAACACTTTCACACTATCACTGCCTTGCCAGAGGCATGGTTTAGATGTCACTCTAAACAGCTGATATCCCAAATCCCTCCTTTAACGTGCAAGCACTGTACCTCCCACTTCCACCTCCCACCTATTTATTAATATTTTAATTAAACTTCAGATGGTTGTAGCATTTAACATCTCCTCTTTCACTTTACTCAATTCTTCTACTACTACTCTTTGTAAAGAACAATTTCTCAGTTTCTCTTCAGCTCCTTTTTTTTGTTAACTTGCATTTGGCCTTATGTTATCCTTATTAAAGGTACAAAAAGTTGTTCCTAGGTAGTAGGTTGGTAGACAGCAGCCGCCCAGGGAGGTACTGCTGTCCTGCCAAGTGTGTGTAAAGCAGAAGCCTGTAATTGTTTTTCATGATGGTAGGTTTGCTGGTGTCTTTTTTCTGTCTTATAAACATGCAAGATTTCAGGTACATCTTGCTACATCTTCTTACACTTAGGTTACACTATACATGCATGTACAAGCATGTATATACACACCCCTCTGGGTTTTCTTCTATTTTCTTACTAGTTCTTATTTCCATGGGGAAGTGGAATGTAATTCTTCCTTCTCTGAACCATGCGTGTTGTAAGAGGCAACTAAAACACCAGGAGCAAGAGGCTAGTAACCTCTTCTCCTGTATACATTACTAAAGTTAAAAAAAGAATCTTTTGTTTTTCTTTTTGGGCCACCCTGCCTCGGTGGGATACGACCAGTTTGTTGAGAGAACAAGAAGAATGTTGTTATATCTCCTCTTTTCCTGCTATCAGTCAGCATATGCATCTTTAGTGTTTTCAGCCTTTTTTTTAACACAGCCATTTCTCACCGAGGCAGGGTGACCGAAAAAGAAAGAAAAACCCTAAAAAAAAAAAGCTTTCATTATTATTCAACACTTTCACCATCACTCACACATAATCACTGCCTTCACAGAGGCATGTCAAATATGACAGTTTAGATGTCCCACCAAACTGCCAATATCCCAAACCCCTCCTTTAACCCTTTCAGGGTCCGTCCCGTAGATCTACGGCTTTACGTTCAGGGTCCAAACCGTAGATCTACGCCATGAGCTCAGCTCACTCTGATAAACTGTGAGTGGTACATTTGGGCCTAGATATGAGAGAATACATCTATGTGGTATGTGTGCACCACATAAAACAGATCCTGCAGCACACTGTGTATAATGAGAGAAAAAAAATGAAATCATGATTTTTCGATTAAAACAGCAACTTTGCAGTGTTTTTTCGTATGTTTTTTATAGTTGTATTTGCGATTTCTTGATCTCATTTGATAGAATGGAAGACATATTACAGAAATAGAGATGATTTTGATTGGTTTTATTACTGGAAATGGCTTGAAACTGAGCTCAAAGTAGCGAAATTTTAAAATTTTTTTGCCGATATTCAAGAGTAAACAAACAACCTCACACGTCTAATACACGCCAGCTGGTGGGTCTAATATACATTCACAAATATGGTGATGATATTTATACAATTATTACAGTATTGCATAACAGTAAATCTTCTATTTTTTGGTGTGAATAAAATCATTATGTGAATAAAAAATCAAAATGGAATTTATTTGTAAAGCCTCAAACATAACTAATGAACAGGGGGAAAATGTTAGTTTAGTGCCTGGAATGCCTACATTGGTTTTATTTTGGGCCCTATTTTGAAAATTTGGGAAAATTTTGAACTTTGTGTTAAATTGGCCAAATTTAACAAATTTCCGATTTACTTTATTTTGGATTGAAACAGTTTTACTTGGCAATTTCTTGTGCCAATCGATAAAATAGAAGTTTCTAGTGAAATAGCTAAAATTTGGTTGATTTGGGAAAAATGTAATTGGCCCTAAATGGAGTCAAAGTCGCAAAATCGCCGATACGTAAAAACATACACATCAAAATTCGCGAGAGCATAATTCTCAATTTTTCCACCAAATTTCGTACTTTTTTTTTATTACAAATTCTCTAAAATCTCTAAAAGATTTCTAAGAAAAAATAACAAATTTTTTTTTTGAAAATTCTTGGACACTGGTGCGTGACTCCAGATTTGGGCCTTGGACCCTGAAAGGGTTAAAGTGCAGGTGTTGTACCTCCCATTTCCAGGACTCGAGTCCGGCTAACTGGTTTCCCTGAATCCCTTCACAAAATATTACCCTACTCACACTCCAACAGCTCATCAGCTCCCCAAAACCATTTGTCTCCATTCACTCCTGTCTAACATGCTCATGCATGCTTGCTGGAAGTTCAAGCCCCTTGCCCACAAAACCTTTACCCCCTCCCTCCAACCTTTTCGGGGCTGACCCCTACTCTGCCTTCCTTCCCCTACAAATTTATTTATTTTATTTTATTATCACACTGGCCGATTCCCACCAAGGCAGGGTGGCCCAAAAAAGAAAAACTTTCACCATCATTCACTCCATCACTGTCTTGCCAGAAGGGTGCTTTACACTACAGTTTTTAAACTGCAACATTAACACCCCTCCTTCAGAGTGCAGGCACTGTACTTCCCATCTCCAGGACTCAAGTCCGGCCTGCCGGTTTCCCTGAACCCCTTCATAAATGTTACTCTGCTCACACTCCAACAGCACGTCAAGTATTAAAAACCATTTGTCTCCATTCACTCCTATCAAACACGCTCACGCATGCCTGCTGGAAGTCCAAGCCCCTCGCACACAAAACCTCCTTTACCCCCTCCCTCCAACCCTTCCTAGGCCGACCCCTACCCCGCCTTCCTTCCACTACAGACTGATACACTCTTGAAGTTATTCTGTTTCGCTCCATTCTCTCCACATGTCCGAACCACCTCAGCAACCCTTCCTCAGCCCTCTGGACAACAGTTTTGGTAATCCCGCACCTCCTCCTAACTTCCAAACTACGAATTCTCTGCATTATATTCACACCACACATTGCTCTCAGACATGACATCTCCACTGCCTCCAGCCTTTTCCTCGCTGCAACATTCATCACCCATGCTTCACACCCATATAAAAGTGTTGGTAAAACTATACTCTCATACATTCTCCTCTTTGCCTCCAAGGACAAAGTTCTTTGTCTCCACAGACTCCTAAGTGCACCACTCACCCTTTTCCCCTCATCAATTCTATGATTCACCTCATCTTTCATAGACCCATCCGCTGACACGTCCACTCCCAAATATCTGATTACATTCACCTCCTCCATACTCTCTCCCTCCAATCTGATATCCAATCTTTCATCACCTAATCTTTTTGTTATCCTTATAACCTTACTCTTTCCTGTATTCACTTTCAACTTTCTTCTTTTGCACACCCTACCAAATTCATCCACCAATCTCTGCAACTTCTCTTCAGAATCTCCCAAGAGCACAGTGTCATCAGCAAAGAGCAACTGTGACAACTCCCACTTTATGTGTGATTCTTTATCTTTTAACTCCACGCCTCTTGCCAAGACCCTCGCATTTACTTCTCTTACAACCCCATCTATAAATATATTAAACAACCACGGTGACATCACACATCCTTGTCTAAGGCCTACTTTTACTGGGAAATAATTTCCCTCTTTCCTACATACTGTAACTTGAGCCTCACTATCCTCATAAAAACTCTTCACTGCTTTCAGTAACCTACCTCCTACACCATACACCTGCAGCATCTGCCACATTGCCCCCCTATCCACCCTGTCATACGCCTTTTCCAAGTCCATAAATGCCACAAAGACCTCTTTAGCCTTGTCTAAATACTGTTCACTTATATGTTTCACCGTAAACACCTGGTCCACACACCCCCTACCTTTCCTAAAGCCTCCTTGTTCATCTGCTATCCTATTCTCCGTCTTACTCTTAATTCTTTCAATAATAACTCTACCATACACTTTGCCAGGTATACTCAACAGACTTATCCCCCTATAATTTTTGCACTCTCTTTTGTCCCCTTTGCCTTTATACAAAGGAACTATGCATGCTCTCTGCCAATCCCTAGGTACCTTACCCTCTTCCATACATTTATTAAATAATTGCACCAACCACTCCAAAACTATATCCCCACCTGCTTTTAACATTTCTATCTTTATCCCATCAATCCCGGCTGCCTTACCCCCTTTCATTTTACCTACTGCCTCACGAACTTCCCCCACACTCACAACTGGCTCTTCCTCACTCCTACAAGATGTTGTTCCTCCTTGCCCTATACATGAAATCACAGCTTCCCTATCTTCATCAACATTTAACAATTCCTCAAAATATTCCCTCCATCTTCCCAATACCTCTAACTCTCCATTTAATAAACTCTCCTCTCCTATTTTTAACTGACAAATCCATTTTTTTCTCTAGGCTTTCTTAACTTGTTAATCTCACTCCAAAACTTTTTCTTATTTTCAACAAAATTTGTTGATAACATCTCACCCACTCTCTCATTTGCTCTCTTTTTACATTGCTTCACCACTCTCTTAACCTCTCTCTTTTTCTCCATATACTCTTCCCTCCTTGCATCACTTCTACTTTGTAAAAACTTCTAAATATGCTAACTTTTCTCCCTTTACTACTCTCTTCACATCATCATTCCACCAATCGCTCCTCTTCCCTCCCGCACCCACTTTCCTGTAACCACAAACTTCTGCTGAACACTCTAACACTACTTTTTTTAAACCTACCCCATACCTCTTTGACCCCATTGCCTATGCTCTCATTTGCCCATCTATCCTCCAATAGCTGTTTATATCTTACCCTAACTGCCTCCTCTTTTAGTTTATAAACCTTCACCTCTCTCTTCCCTGATGCTTCTATTCTCCTTGTATCCCATCTACCTTTTACTCTCAGTGTAGCTACAACTAGAAAGTGATCTGATATATCTGTGGCCCCTCTATAAACATGTACATCCTGAAGTCTACTCAACAGTCTTTTATCTACCAATACATAATCCAACAAACTACTGTCATTTTGCCCTACATCATATCTTGTATACTTATTTATCCTCTTTTTCTTAAAATATGTATTACCTATAACTAAACCCCTTTCTATACAAAGTTCAATCAAAGGGCTCACATTTTCATTTACACCTGGCACCCCAAACTTACCTACCACACCCTCTCTAAAAGTTTCTCCTACTTTAGCATTCAGATCCCCTACCACAATCACTCTCTCACTTGGTTCAAAGGCTCCTATACATTCACTTAAAACTCCCAAAATCTCTCTCTCTCCTCTGCATTCCTCTCTTCTCCAGGTGCATACACGCTTATTATGACCCACTTCTCGCATTTCCAACCTTTACTTTAATCCACATAATTCTTGAATTTACACATTCATATTCTCTTTTCTCCTTCCATAACTGATCATTCAACATTACTGCTACCCCTTCCTTTGCTCTAACTCTCTCAGATACTCCAGATTTAATCCCATTTATTTCCCCCCACCGAAACTCCCCTACCCCCTTCAGCTTTGTTTCGCTTAGGGCCAGGACATCCAACTTCTTTTCATTCATAACATCAGCAATCATCTGTTTCTTGTCATCTGCACTACATCCACGCACATTTAAGCATCCCAGTTTTATAAAGTTTTTCTTCTTTTTTTTAGTAAATGTCTACAGGAGAAGGGGTTACTAGCCCATTGCTTCCGGCATTTTAGTCACCTCATACGACACGCATGGCTTACGGAGGAAAGATTCTTTTCCACTTCCCCATGGACAATAGAAGAAATAAAGAAGGACAAGAGCTATTTAGAAAAAGGAGAAAAACCTAGATGTATGTATATATATATGCATGTGCGTGTCTGTGAAGTGTGACCAAAGTGTAAGTAGGAGTAGCAAGATATCCCTGTTATCTAGCGTGTTTATGAGACAGAAAAAGAAACCAGCAATCCTACCATCATGCAAAACAGTTACAGGTTTCTGTTTCACAGTCATCTGGCAGGACAGTAGTACTTCCCTGGGTGGTTGCTGTCTACCAACCTACTACCTACTACCTCACTATGAATTCTCTGCATAATATTTACACCACACACTGCCCTTAGACATAACATCTCCATTGCCTCAAGCCACCTCCTCGCTGCTGCATTCACAACCCATGCTTCATACCCATACAAGAGTGTTGGTACCACTATACTCTCATACATTCCCTTCTTTGCCTCCATGGATAACGTTTTTTTGTCTCCACAGATACCTTAACACACCACCCACTTTTTTTCCTTCATCAATTCTATGGCTAACCTTGCCCTTCATAAACTTATCCTCTGACAAGTCAACTCCCAAATATCTGAAAACATTCACTTCTTCCGTACTCCCTCTCTCCAGTGTGATATCCAGTTTTTCTTTATCTAAATCATTTGATACCCTCATTATCTTAATATTATCTATGTTTCCTTTCAACTTTCTACCTTTAGACACCCTCCCAAACTTGTCCACTAACCTCTGCAACTTTTCTTTAGAATCTCCCATAAGCACAGTATCATCAGCAAAAAGTAGCTGTACCAACTCCCATTTTGTACTTGATTCCCCATAATTTAAACCCACCCCTCTCCCCAGTACCCTAGCATTTACTTCTTTTACAACCCCATCTATAAAAATGTTAAACAACCATGGTGACATTACACATCCCTGTCTAAGACCTACTTTTACTGGAAAGTAATTTCCATCTCTCCTACACACCCTAACCTGAGCCTCACAAATTTCTTCTATTGCTCTAGTTAAGTACTGATAATGTGTTACTTTCTCTCAGTCATATTGCTTTATTTATATGCTGTTGCATAAAAAGATCATTATGTTACAGAACTCTGTTAACTATTTACTTATAGTTCTAACCTCAAAAGGTTGCCCAATTTATTTGTTTATAGGTGAAATTTCCAGCTACAAAAGCTTTCTTATTATCTTGGTCACTTTTCAACAGTTGTTCTCTTATTATATTATGTAATGCTTCGTTTACTTTGCTAAATTCTTCCTTCTGCCAAATTTTATTAAACTGATTATGCACTATCCCTTTTTTTTCATATTTAGTGTTATGTGAAGAATGGAATCAAGACAATGTTTCCCTGGCAAGCAGAGTGTTTGAGCATGCCAAAGGTCCTTGATGGAAGAAATCTTGTTTATTCTGCACCTACATCAGCCGGTATGCTAAGTTTATTAAATACTATTAACTTTGCTCGTTGTCTTCATTTAATTGATGTCTTGATTTGTGTATTACATCTTCATAGGTGCCAGATAAATGGTATTAAATACTGACTCAGTGGAAAAATAGACACAAATGCAATATAGTACAATCCTTTATTGACTCCGTTTTGCTCATACAGTGGGTTTTATCAAGTCACAGACAGATCTGTTTGTGACTTGATAAATCCCACTGTGTGAGCAAAATGTAATCAGTAAAGGATTGCATTATGTACTGCATTTGTGTCTGTGTTTCCTTCATAAGACCTGTATCAAACTTGCCCTTGCTTTCTAAAATATTCAAAAAAATAATACACAAACAACTTAACTCCTATCTTATATACAACAACATACTTAACCCCTGCCAGTTTGGGTTTAGATCAAAAAAAGTATGATGATGCTATTATATAAATGCTCGAACTAATACATATACAGCCTTCAATAAAAATGAACATCCACTGATGCTCTTCATTGACCTATGGAAAGCATTTGATACAGTGGGCCACAATCTTCTGCACCTAAAAATAATCCACCACAGGCTCAGAGGACATTCCCTCAGTTACCTAATATCTTATCTTAACAGTAGACACCAGTATGTATACGCAAATAGAGTCAACTCCACTATTCAGCCTGTAGCTGTTGGGGTGCCCCAGGGTAGTGTCCTAGGCCCACTCCTCTTTGTCATCTACATCAATGATCTCCCCAGTGCATCTCAACTCCTTAAACCAGTTCTATTCACAGTCGACACTACTAATGTCTACTCCCACTCAAACCCAGCTGTACTTAGAGATACTAAAAATATATATACTTGGATGATGACCAACAAACTCAGTCTCAACATAGACTAAACATACTTCAAGCTGTTCAGAAACAGAGCCTTAAATCTTCTTCTTTCAACACACCGGCTGTATCCCACTGAGGCGGGGTGGCCCAAAAGGAAAAACAAAAGTTTCTCCTTTCAAATTTAGTATATATACAGGAGAAGGGGTTACTAGCCCCTTGCTCCCAGCATTTTAGTCGCCTCTTACAACACGCATGGCTTACGGAGGAAGAATTCTGTTCCACTTCCCCATGGAGATAAGAGGAAATAAACAAGAACAAGAATTAGAAAGAAAATAGAAGAAAACCCAGAGGGGTACGTATATATACGCTTATACATGTATGTGTAGTGTGACCTAAGTGTAAGTAGAAGTAGCAAGACATACCTGAAATCTTGCATGTTCCTGAGACAGAAAAAAGGACACCAGCAATCCTACCATCATGTAACACAATTACAGGCTTTCGTTTTACACTCACTTGGCAGGACATTAGTACCTCCCTGGGCGGTTGCTGTCTACCAACCTACTACCTAGGAGAGCCTTAAATATCCAACTTAATATATATTGATAAATGGTTCCCCCATTACAAGACACTGAGAGTAAATTTCTAGGTCTTCACCTTGACTGTAATCTTAAATTTCATTCCCACATCCAGCATATATCCAAGAAAATTACCAAATCAGTAGGCATCCTTTCCAAGATACAGTCCTGTGTGCTCCAAATGACACTCCTTACCCTATATCACTCTTTAATACATATATGTATACTCCTACCTCAACTATGATATTTGTGTCTGGGGATCAACCACAGCCAACCACCTTAAACCTTTAATAACTTAACAAAAACCTACTGTGCAGATGATTACCAACTCCTGTGCTAGACAGGACGCCCCACCACTTTTCTAAAGCCCGAACCTACTAAATATACAAGAGATACACTCTTCTTCTACTTTCAATGTGCCAGCCGTATCCCACTGAGGTGGCGTGGCCCAAAAGGAAAAACAAAAGTTTCTCATTTTAAATTTAGTAATATATACGGGAGAAGAGGTTACTAGCCCCTTGCTCCCGGCATTTTAGTCGCCTCTAACGACACGCATGGCTTATGGAGGAAGAATTCTGTTCCACTTCCCCATGGAGAAGAGATATACTCATATTATTTTTTTTTTTATTAACACATGGGCCGTTTCCCACCAAGGCAGGGTGGCTGAAAAAGAAAAATTTTCGTCATCATTCACTCCATCACTGTCTTGCCAGAGGCATGCTTACACTACAGTTATAAAACTGCAACATTAACACCCCTCCTTCAGAGTGCCGGCACTGTACTTCCCATCTCCAGGACTCAAGTCCGGCCTGCCAGTTTCCCTGAATCCCTTCATAAATGTTACCTTACTCACACTCCAACAGCACGTCAAGTCCTAAAAACCGTTTGTCTCCATTCGCTCCTATCTAACACGCTCTCACACGCTTGCTGGAAGTCCAAGCCCCTCACACACAAAACCACCTTTACCCCCTCCCTCCAACCTTTCCGACCCCTAACCCGCCTTCCCTCCACTACAGATCTGTACACTCTTGAAATCATTCTATTTCGTTCCACCCTCTCTGCATGTCCAAACCATCTCAACAACCTCTCCTCAGCTCTCTGGATAATAGTTTTGGTAATCCCACAGCTCCTCCTAATCTCCAAACTGCGGATTCTCTGTATTATATTCATTCACACTACACATTGCCCTCAGACGTGACATCTCCACTGCCTCCAACTTTCTCCTTGTTGTAACATTCATAACCTGTACCTCACACCCATACATGAGCGTTGGTATAACTATACTCTCATACATTCCTCTCTTTGCTGTCATGGATAATTTTCTTTGTCTCAATAAACTCCTCAGTGCACCACTCACCTTTTTTCCCCCGTCAGTTCTATGAATTACCTCGTCTTTCGTAGACCCATCTGCTGACATGTCCACTCCCAAATATCTGAATACATCACCTCCTTCATACTCTCTCCCTCCAGTCTGATATTCAATCTTCTGTTACCTAATGTTTTTGCTATCCTTATCACCTTGCTCTTTCCTATATTCACATTTAATTTTCTTCTTTTACATACCCTACCAAACTCATCAACCAACCTCTGCAACTTCTCTTCAGACTCGCCCAAAAGCACAGTGTCATCAGCAAAGAGCAACTGTGACAACTCCCACTTTGTGTTAGATTCCTTATCTTTTAACCCCACACCTCTTGCCATCACCCAAGCATTCACTTCTCTTACAAGTCCATCTATAAATATGTTGAACAACCGTGGTGACATCACACATCCCTGTCTAAGGAATACAGTTACTGGGAAATAATCCCCCTCTCGCCTACATACTCTAACCTGAGCCTCACTATCCTCGTAAAGACTCTTCACTGCTTTCAGTAACTTGCCTCCTATTCCATACATTTGCAACAACTGCCACATTGCCTCACTATCCACCCTATCATACACCTTTTCCAAATGTATAAATGCCACAAAAACCTCTTTACCCTTATCTAAATATTGTTCACCTATATGTTTCACTGCAAACACTTGGTCTACACACCCCTACTCTTCCTAAAGTCTCCTTGTTCTTCTGCTATCCTACTCTGTCTTACTCTTAATTCTTTCAATAATAATTCTACCATACACTTTACCAGGTATTCTCAACAGACTTTTTTTTTTTTTATTTTTTTTAACAAGTCAGCCGTCTCCCACCGAGGCAGGGTGACCCAAAAAAGAAAGAAAATCCCCAAAAAAAGAAAATACTTTCATCATCATTCAACACTTTCACCTCACTCACACATAATCACTGTTTTTGCAGAAGTGCTCAGAACACAACAGTTTAGAAGCATATACCTATAAAGATACACAACATATCCCTCCAAACTGCTAATATCCCGAACCTCTCCTTTAGAGTACAGGCATTATACTTCCCATTTCCAGGACTCAAGTCTGGCTATATAAAAATAACCGGTTTCCCAGAATCCCTTCACTAAATATTACCCTGCTCACACTCCAACAGATCGTCAGGTCCCAAATACCATTCATCTCCATTCACTCCTATCTAACACACTCATGCACGCTTGCTGGAAGTCCAAGCCCCTCACCCACAACACCTCCTTTACCCCCTCCCTCCAACCTTTTCGAGGACGACCCCTACCCCGCCTTCCTTCCCCTACAGATTTATACGCTCTCTATGTCATTCTACTTTGATCCATTCTCTCTAAATGACCAAACCACCTCAACAAGCCCTCTTCAGCCCTCTGACTGATTCCTTTATTAGCTCCACACCTAATTTCCACACTCCGAATTTTCTGCATAATATTTACACCACACATTGCCCTTAGACAGGACATCTCCACTGTTTCCAACCGCCTCCTCGCTGCTGCATTCACAACCCAAGCTTCACACCCATATAAGAGTGTTGGTACTATTATACTTTCATACATTGCCTTCTTTGCCTCCATAGATAACGTTTTTTGTCTCCACATATACCTCAATGCACCACTCACCTTTTTTCCCTCATCAATTTTATCATTAACCTCATCCTTCATAAATCCATCCGCTGACACGTCAACTCCCAAGTATCTGAAAACATTCACTTCTTCCATACTCCTCCTCCCCAGTTTGATATCCAATTTCTCTTTATCTAAATCATTTGATACCCTCATCACCTTACTCTTTTCTATGTTCACTTTCCACTTTCTACCTTTACACACATTCCCAAACTCATCCACTAACCTTTGCTATTTTTCTTTAGAATCTCCCATAAGCACAGTATCATCAGCAAAAAGCAACTGTGTCAGTTCCCATTTTGTATTTGATTCCCCATAATTTAACCCTTAAACGGTCCAAACAGATCGACGTTCAAATTCGTAGTGCTACAAAAGTAGATCTACTTTTTTTTACATATTTTCAAATATAAAAAAAAATGTAGATAAAGGTTTTTTTACACATTTTCACATGTAAAACAAAAAAAAAAAAGATCTACATTTTTTTACATACTTTCAGATGTTGAAAAAATGTATATATACATTTGGACCATTTAAGGGTTAATCCCACCCCTCTCCCGAACACCCTAGCATTTACTTCTTTTACAACCCCATCTATAAATATATTAAACAACCATGGT